TAAAAAGTAAATTATTTTCCCACTTGTGCTCTGAATATGAAGCAGGTAATGAATGGAATTTTTTAAAATTATCACTCGTTTATCAGTAGTCTCAGAGAATTATGACGCACATTAATTTTGGGATAATTTACATCTTCCCATACTCCATTTACACCTTGCTAATACCATTAGCAATTACCAATTTTATTTTTAAATAATATTAAAAATAAAGTTAATTATGTTCTATATTAGGACTTTTTTCGTTTTAATTTTAAATGCGTTAATTACCAGGGACATTTAAATAATCATCAGTAAACACTATCTTCATTAAATAAACTGGTTACTTAGCTTTTAATTTAATTAAATTCAGTGTTATTTGACGTTCATTTCCGCACTAAGCTCTTATGAATGCAAAAACTTCTTTTGAGTGTGAGCCCATTGGAGAAATATTTCATTTAAGAGATCTTATGCTATCATGTAAATGAAAGAAGAATTTAAAACATCTAAGTAGTCATGCATTAAAAAATGTATTTATTTTATACCCGCTAATATTAGAAATATTTAGCAGTTAAAATGGCGAATAGTTCATTTAACCATAAACAATATGCAAGATAAAATTAAAAATAGAAGCATTGTTTTGACATCCGTAATGTGAAATATGAACCTTAATTTTCAGATACATTACGTCTGTTGCTGATTTTACATACGAAATCGCCACAAAATTCTTAGGCCATTTTCTACTTCTATTTCAGACCAGTGTTTGATGTTCAGCTTTGAGGGAGCAGATAAAATTATTTTATATAACTAGTTTAACACAAAGTGAGACAATAATTGCAATAAATTTCAACAGTTTGATTTTCAGATCACAACCAAAATTCAGTTAACTTTATTCTTAATTAAAAATGGGGCATTCGAATCTCAGAACCATGTATCCTAAAAGAAAAAATGATTCGAATTCAACGAATCGTTTTAATTTTAAACTAAAATATGTTAAATATTTTAACTCAATACTTTAGAAAAATTAATTTTAATGATGTCCCGTAGAAGTGTTCATTAAAAAAAAACAACCAGGCTGTTGAATTTCAGAGGTCAGTGGTCATCTGCATTATTTCCTCGAATGGTGCATTCTAATTTTTTGAAAGACTTAACTTTTAATTTTTTATGTTTATGCATTTATGTTGAAAGGATTCCGAGAGCTCAAACTGTATACTGGCCCTGCACCGACTTAAATTCACACGGTTCGTAAATACATGAGCCAGGAAACCACATAAAACGAAAACTTTCACTAGAAATTATTTCAGCAGTATTATTCAGGTTTTCATTTTGAATACACTCGACAGAGGACAAAGGATTCAACAAAAATAAATTAAAATGCAACTGAGTGCATTTGTGAGGTGTAATTTAAACACTAGCAAATTCCTGGCGAAATCTCATTACCCTTTCGAAGACTTGCGAAATATAATTTTTTCTGCACATGGAAATACACCATGTATATGGGTTTAGTTCAAACTGATATTAAAATGTTTACGAAAGAATTAAATGTGATGAGGTACATATGCTCACTTACTTTGTATATAATTCACTTTAAGTTAAATTTGTATACATTTTAAGTTTAATTTAGAAATAGTCTTCTCATTTATTTCTACAAAAGTCTTTGAATTTCATTTTGGACTCGAACCTTTTAAATACGTCTGAGTGCATCTGAATAGAAGTGCAGAAATTCTAGCTTTAAAAGTACTGATAGATAGTTTTAAAGCAATTTTAAAAAGTTAAAAACTATAAATTTGACGAATAAACACGTTTTTAAAATAATTATGGTACATTTTTCAATTATTCCAAAAATGGCTCATCTTTGATAAACTGTTATCTGCTAGTACTTTTTATTGTTTCTATCAGCAGATTTCTTATCAAGGTGAAATAAAATGCATTGCCAAATGAGGAAAATAACTGCTGAAACTTGGTGCAGATGTGATCTTTTGAAATAAATGTAATACTCCGTTTTGAGTAAAGGTTTTCTTATTAAATGCGTCCACGAGTGTTCACAAGGCGTTAGTTTGCGCCAAAACAGCAAGCACATTATTATGGATTAACTATTTGGAACATCTGTAGGGTCCTATTTAGTTTTACTAACAGTTGTTTGGATTTTTGAGCCTGAATTCTTCCATTTCCCCTTGCATTTCCTCGTCAGGATGTAAATAAAGTAAGTAAACGAAAGTATTTAAACTGCTGGTACGAAAATTTTGACAAAGCGTGATTTCGTTAGCGAAAGAGCCCGTTTGCTATTTTGCTTTCCAGCAGTTAATCTTTGTAGCGGTTACAGATTCTGGCCGTTTAGTTAGCATATCGCTGGTGTAGATTTCTGAGTCAGTCTCTTAATCAAATTGAATTCTGTAGTCTAACACTACATCTCAACCTTAAAATTTATTTTTAAATCAACATTTAAGTTCTCATCACAAGTGGTCGATGTTTTGTGTAACCACGTAAGTCCTTGCCTCTGTTGCGCAGTTTGCCATATATAAAAGGGTCTTTTACACCCTTTGGCTGTTGTGATCATCTTCACGTCTGTGCGAGAAGTCGCAAGGCAAACGTTCAAGTAGATCTAGTTATTTCATGATAGCAAAACATACTAGATCACACGTAACTAATTTTAAATTTGTGATTTCATGTTTTGCATTGCTAATTTCCGGGAGACTAATTCTTAAACTATTATACCAAAAACTTTAAAGTTTAAATTAGTCAATCTCTACCTTAAAATTGTTTCAGGTGTTAAACTGATATGAGCATATCTGGACAAAATTTTCCCTTTAGTTGTATAATTTATTTACATATATATAAACATATATATAAAAGTTCTTAAATACTTTATTAGCACATTTTATAAACTTTAATTGTAAGCCCTTCGAACTCTTAATCTGACTTGTAACCTGACCGCCCCCCACAGATTGCATTAAAAAATTATAATATATTTCCTTCACAATAATACATATTTATTTACTTCGTTGTATATGGGCAAAAGAGATGTCAGTTCCGAATAGGATATTAGTATCGAAACGGCATTTTGCGTTGAATCACTATAAATAGCATATTACTTTTCAAATTGTTGCCATCAAATATTATTACTCTGTATATCTAGAGATTTTAAATAATGAAGAATCTGCATGAATGTATCCATATTTCTCGGCTTATGGAGAAACGACGACCTAAAGCCATCACATTTTGTATAACGTAGTCCTCCACCCGAACATTGGCACCTGGATGCCCGAATTTTTAATTTTAAATTTGTTTTATTATCTAATCATATTTAGCAAAACTTTAACGAATTTCTTTTGTTAACAAACTCAACGATTTCAAATCGATCAGTGGCAGCACTGTATGGAAAATATTGTTACGGATTGGTGTATTTAGTTAGCTATTTTTAGCAGAATTGTAATTAAAATTGCTTTACTTCCCCGAGCAAGGCAGTGCGTGACGAATTTTAAGAGAAAGCTACGCCGAAAAAGTAAAAATATAGGAGCACGCGCTTTTAATGAATAGATATCTCGTAATTTATATTTAAATTGAATAAATGCAATTGTGTGTTAACTGTAACCGTCTACTTTCGAGAAATTGCTATAACTCTCTCGTGCGGCCGATTTAAAAAGCTATAAAAGCCAGTGAGAGAACATCTCTGCTGAGTTGTGTTAGTGAGCTCTTGTTGTTTACTTAGCTGCAGTAAATTTTCAGATCAGATTAGCATTCTCTGCGCTTTGAACTGTGTTCTATTTGACGTTTTAGTAGTTTAAAATATAAATACTGCGTGATATTATAATATTGTACAAATATTTGTGAAGAAAAATGTCAACATTTTGCTTTATTTCTTGTGATAAGAATAAATGTTTTTTACATTTCATGACTACATTCTATTTCATGAAATATTATTACATTCCGTAGCGTGCATACGGGTTCGTAATAGATTGAATGACTTGTGTATTCGATCTATTACGAACCCGTATGCACGCACGCAGCAATATAATTTTTCTTCCAGTGCGCGAGACTCTCTGTCGGAAATTCTAAACGTATGCTGTTTTTAAATACTTTGTGATTTTTCTGTTGAATCGAGTTTTATGGGGCACTGTAACCCCAAGAACCAAGCCCCAAGAACGTATTATTCAATAAATAAAGTAAACACACAAAAGGTTATTACTAAAAAGACAAAAAAAATTTAAAGCCTTCTTAGTAAGGAAACTGAGCATTTATATGGTGAACTGATATAAGACGGGAGAAAAACAGAAAAATGCATGCTAACAATTAACGCTGCATAGGGAATTCTAAAAGTATACTGCTATGCTACTTTTAAAATATTTGTAATGTTTCTGTTGAACTCTATATGGCATATTTGCGAAAAAATTATATTTAATAATAAAGCTTAAAATATAAAAAATATAATAATAAAAAAGTGTGGGTTAATAGGAGTGAGTATCACAGCAGATTGGTAGACTGCAAGCTCAGCGAGGGCGTAAAAAACCTTAACATACAATTTTGGGAGACCGTTAAAATCTGAAACCTTTGATTTTTTAATTTTTTTTATTGCACATATCTTTGCGTTTGATAGCGTGCTTCATAAAGAAATGTGCAACAAGATGAAAACGGCTATAAAACTCTAATAGAATGGAATTGTATTAGAATTGACTGAAAAATGTAAATAAATATTTGTGTTATAACAAATAAATTTTCCTAAAACGAAGATCCATGTTTTCGATTAAAAATATAGATTGTATTTTTGATCTGAATTTGATTTTTATCCCTGAATTCTGATACTCTAAAAGACTGATGTATTTTTAATTTGAGTGAGAGTAATGTATTCTTTTAAGTAGGGTAGAATTTTCTTTAATATCAAATATGTATATTTGATATTATATATATATATATACATATGTATATTTGATATTATAGATATATATTTGAAATTAACCATACTTGTTTGAAAGGTACTAAACAATCATAATTTATATTACATTGGATACAGCAATCAAAGTACTTACATTCAATTCTGAAAAGCGTCGAGCTATTGACTCCTGGTCCAAGAACATTACCAGAGCTCACGCAGGTAAAAGTGCTGAAATCAAAACTTGTAGCCGGAAGGTGACTGAGACTCCAAGATAGTGTGCTTACGACGGACATGAGGACGTTCCTTTTCGGGTCTGGATCCAGAACAATAGTTTCTGTGACAAAGAACTTAGAATCCTGCAATGAATCGGTGCCTCGAAACCATGTGACGTTGCACAATGGATCACATTCCACATGACACATCAACCGGACTTCCGATGCATTCCGGGCTGCTCCTGATTCCGCAGGCAGCGCTCGTACGAACGATGGGGGAGCTGAAATGCGGAAGAACATTTAAAATAGGGATATGAGAGTTGTGTTAGATTGTTACACAACAATACGTAATTCAAAAACATCCAATCGGAGATTATTAAATTAAATAATGAATATGTCATTTAACCATGAAAAATAATAATTAATTTTATGCATGACTGAAATACACAAGTATATTAGCAAAATAGAGTAATTAATTTAAATTATATTTTGGTTGAGCTTTTAATTAAAAAAACATAGCAGCTGCCAAATGGAAAATGAAAAATGCTATGTAATCTAATTATAACTACGACACTCTGCTTCTTTCAGAAGTTGTGCTTAAGAATTTCGTCAAGTTAAAGATGAAATTTCCTATAATGTATTAGCATTTAAATACATAAAGAAAGATTGAAATGCTGCAGTTAATAAAAATACTTCTTGAGTACATAGACAAACGTATTTAAAAGCATGATATTCTATATACATCGAAAAGCGTAATAATTTATGTAAATTTAATTTTTAAAAACTGATAATATCCAGTAATTTTGTTGTTGTCAGAGCGGGGGCGACCAATTCTTCATCTCTTAGTTTAATGTATAAAACACTAAAAGATGCATAATATTATTATCTGATTTTTACAACTAGTTTATACTTTGAATAACTTCTTTGAGTTCAGCAAGCATTTTGTAAACATCTAATTCAAATTTCCTTCGTTCACTGAAAATTATTTTATTCTGCCGCCCTGAACGGCACGCTGTTGCTGGCTACCTTATCTTGGGACGAATCTCTGAATCCCAGAGATATTTTGGATATTTTTAAGAGCGATATGGAGCCCCTACAGTAAATGGCGAGTCAAATGACCTCTCGAGAAGTCTGGTGGTATTGGAAAAGGAGTGCAAGCCCTTCAATCTCTCTTCCGGGCTACTGTCTTTCAAAACTGGGCGGAATTGCGCAAAGTTGTACTATCGTTTATGTGAGGCTCAAAGCCTAAAACAACGAAAAGCGCAAATTCTGCCTCTTAAGCACGATAAATTTCGTGTACTTTTCTGATGTTCCTGTCTGGTGTGTGAAATATGGCATAACCAACACTATTTTATTCCTGTATAGATGTCAGAGATTCCTGAGGGAAAAGAAAGATCCAATTACAACTTTTACATAATAATTATTTTAATGCATTTTTTTTTCAAAATAAAATGTTGAGAAAAACCATGAAAATAATCATAGGTTGAGGATAGCCGATCTTTTTAAGTGGCCAAGCTCGCCAGTTCTTTAATGCAAATTGTATAAATAATTTCAAAAGTCCATTTCAATTTATAATTCAGAATAACGGTGTTATAGATCTTATTGGGAAAGGGATAAAAATAAGTACATCAATCCAATTAAGTTCTCTAAGAAACGAGTACGGGAAAGGATACTGTCTATTTTCTAGCGATGCCTTTTCTATACATCTTCTGCGATGTGAAATTTAGAGACACGGAGATGGTTACCGCGAATGAATAGCGACTAAATATATTTTATTCAGCGGCGTTTCTAATTTAAATAAGATGACATTACACATTTTGTTATAATTATTAACAGACTTTAATTCATTTTTGCGTATTTTTTATTTAGATTTTGAAACACAAAATGGATCAAACATAAATAATACAGCATTGCCTACAAAGTACCCTAGGGATCATAACACATATTGCTTCTGCAAGAAGAGGGAACATACAATTAAAACTATCCCATGCTTCTTTCAGGATTCATACCCAGGCTGAATGATACAGGCAGACGGCTCTGCCCGCCAGAATATCTACTAGAGATTTATTTCAAAAAGACCGAAATTCCAGTAAGAATGCGTAATAATATAAACATTACAATATCTAATAAGAAATCCTCATTTCTTCTTCCTTGTATCCTAAATCTCTGTATCCTATTCTGTAGCCCGCTGTTATTGTTTACTGCTACTCCCCTTGGCCTTCAAACGTTTCCCTTAAACCATCAAATTTTTTATTTTTCGAAAAAATATATGTTATAGCCTGATTCTTTCTGCACAGTTTAAAAAAAACCCAAGCAAAAATTCGTAAAATTTCATGAGTTATGAAGGAAAATGTATCAGCTGAACTAATGTAAACAAGGTTTAAAGGTCCAAGCGAAAAGCGTCAGCAGTTTTTACTTGAAGTGTTATGTGGCAAGCTTGATGATTTATTTTTTAATGATCTATTTATGGAGTAGCAATGTTATTTCTGAACTCTTCGGCAGTTTGTTTACATTCTTATGGTTCTTGCGTTTTATTTTTATTGCTCTTTTTTCCTTTCATTTCATTATATTTTAGTAGTGTTTCATATCACTCTACTTGTTATTTCCGTCACTTATGATCATTCAGAGTTGATTTTAGAACAGTTTGTGGGTGAATTTAAATATAATTGTAAGTTTTTAAAGCATTTTATTATCTTACTGTGCACTGCTCCGTAAAATAGCTGATAATGCTTATAAACGTGTTTCTGGAAAGCGTTCAAAAAAGCGCCGATTTCATGGAAACCAGTTCAGCAAAACTGGTAAATCGACAGTTTCAAATGAAATAAATAATGGATTTTCTATTTCTTCCCCAAACCAAGCTGTTATTTGTGAAACTACAGCTGCACATAGTTTCCCTGGAAATTCAGATGAACTAAATACAAGTGCTTCTTGTAAAAAGTTAAATGTAACAGACATTGATTTTTCAAGTGAAAGCAATCGATTTGATGGCAACATGATTGTCGATAAAAATATTCTGTGTTCTTTTTTGGAAGAAAACACTGTGTGTAAGGTATGCCATGGTAAATTAAAAATTTACTGCGAAAAGATCTGCAGGTCTGTGTTCCAGAATGATCTTGACATGTCAAGGATGCAAAAATGTTGTGATGACAAGCAACACTAAACTTGTTGGGGAGAAAAGGAACATTGCAGAAATTAATCGTCGTATTATTTATGCAATGCGTTGTATTGGTCAAGGTCTTGAACCATTGAAAACATTTTGTGGAATAATGGATTTAGATCCTCCTGTGATGCAAAAAACTTATGACAGAATCTGTAACTTAATCAATAATGCAACAAAAATGACTGCAATTGAAAGCATGAAAAATGCAGCAGCAGAAGAAGTATCACTCAGTAATTCTACAGACATAAGTGTAAGTGGTGATGGCACCTGGAAAACAAGAGGCCATACATCTCAGATTGGTGTATGTACGGTTATTGGTGCTGAGAGTGGAAAAGTTATCGACGTAGAGGTTTCATCCGTAGCCATGTAAAGTATGCGAATTGTGGAAGGGTCCTCGATCTGGTGAAGCCTTTGATGAGTGGCAGAAAACCCATTCTCGCACTTGCAGGAGATATCATTTCGGTTCATCTGCCAAAATGGAAGCTGACGGAATGGTTAAAATTTTTCAGAGGTCTCAAAGTGCAAGTGGTGTGAGATACATCAATTATATTGGTGATGGTGATTCAAAAACATTTCTTTCCATAACAGAAAGCAAATCATACTCGTATAAAGGTGTGACTATGTCAAAACTAGAGTGTGTAGGGCACATCCAGAAGAGGATGGGCACTCGCTTACGTAAACTGAAAGCTGATTATAAGGGACGAAAGCTTTCAGATGGCAAAAGTCTATCTGGAAAAGGTCGACTTACAGATAGTGCAATCAGTCGACTGTCATTGTATTATGGAAATGCAATTCGCCAACATGCAGATTCACTGAAAGATATGCGAAATGCTACCTGGGCTTTGTATTTTCATACTAGATCTACAGACAGTGACCCATTACATAATTTTTGTCCAACTGGTGAGTCCTCATGGTGCAAGTACCAAATTGCTTCGGCGAAAGGGGTTGTGAATGATTTTCGCCATAAAGAAACCTTACCACTGGCAGTCATGGATGTGATCAAACCAGTTTTCAACTCACCGTCGCATCCAGACCTTCCTAAAACGCTGTCTTGGAGCTCATACTCAAAATCCAAATGAGTCACTGAACTCCTTGATTTGGCAAATATGTCCAAAGACATCTGGTAGTGGCAGAATCATCTCAGAAATAGCAGTTCATGAAGTAGTTACTCTTTTTAATGATGGTAGAAAGGGTAGATTATCTACTCTGAGATACCTGAATATACACCCTGGAATTAATTGCATTACTGCACAATTCAGAAGTGACTATAAACGTGTAACTTCTTCAAAGAAAACGAGTAATAGCTCGAACGATTGATGCTCGTCGCGCAAAGCGTCATGCAAAACTGCATGAAATTAAAAAGACTCATAAAGCTGAAGGAGTAACATACCTTTCAGGAGCATTTTAATGCTAATAATGTGTGTATAATTATTATATGATGAATCTGTATTGATATATTTTGTGCATTTTTGCTATTCGGTGTAATTTCATATCACCACATGAATTGTCGTGTTAGTGTGAATGTTGTGTAAACAGTTGAAATTTCTATCAAATACAAAATAAGTAAAGAAAACAATATTAGGTGATAAGTTCTTCATTTTATATAAAATTAAGGTGCAATAAAAATAGTTATTAGGTAATATGTGGTGAAAAAAACTTTAAAGTCATTTTTCTCAAAACATGATTTTTCATTATTGCGCGCATTATAACAATTGAAAGATTCAATATATTCTAATGAAAGTTGTATCACAGATACAGTATGTAATTTGCTACAACCTGAACCTAAAATTTGCAATTTTCATTTATATTTTCTTATTTTTCTGGGTTCTCAAAGTAATAAAAAGTATGCTATTTTCAGTAACATAAAACCACTGTTTTTAAAAAATATAAAATTTATATATATTTAAAATTTTAAAGGTTCAAAATTATAATAAGACTATAATAAATATATTAGAGGTGAAAATATTTTGAAAAAGCATATAATTTAAGAGTAATCTTGCGCGCAAGCTGATATTACATTTTTAGATTACATAAAGTGCCATACAGTTTTCAGCATTATTAAATAATTTGTTTTTTGTATTTTATAAGATTAGTCACATTTTCAGATAGAGTAGTATTTTA